ACCAACTAAATAATTAGAAAAATTGTTCTTTGCAAGCTTGCAGGCATAAATACCCCTCATCAGGCTGAGGAAGCATCTGTAGTTGATCTGTGCTATTCCTGGATGGAATAGGAAAGAATCCAGATGCCAGTATGCATGCGAGAAATCCAGTCATTGAAAATGCAGACTGAGGCAGTCAATGGGTGTGAAACCAGTTGCGGGGGGTTGTGTGTGTGTTTTGTTTGGTTTTTTTGGAGGATTTTCCATTTTGTTAATGTTTTTTGTTGGGGGGGTGATTTTTAAAAATTATTTATTTCCTGGTTTTTGAGGTTTTCCCGTTTCTTTTTATTTTTTTGTTAGGGGGTTGATTTTTTTCTCTCTTTATTTCCTGTTTGCCCTATAGCACCTATCCTCGACATCTTGGTGCATTGGCTGGGATCTCTTGACAGCGGCCTAAGTCCATCGGATGGACCTACAATGGACAAAGCGGAGGTGCTATAGCAAACATTAAGCCTAATGGTGTAAATACTGCAACATCAGCAGCAGCAAGCCACCCGCCAAATAGCCCTCGATGAGAAGATTGCCACGTGGCCGGGGATAGTTTTACCAGCTCGAGATGTTCCCTGTTAGTCGAGAAGACAAGGGGAATAGAAGCTCAGGGCAGGAGCAATCTCAGATAGAAATGATGGGTTGTAGTTTGGGTGAAGCTATAGGGGACTTCATGTGGGAAAAACCGGCAGTATGGGTGAGAGTGGCAGGGAAACGGGTGATTAGAGCATGCTCAGACCCTGATTAGGGCTCAGATCCTAATTAGGGCTTTGCTTAGACCCTGATTAAGGCTAATCTTTTTCCATGCAGAAAAGGTGGGAAGACCTCCCCTGTTAGAATGATTTGTATGTATGGCAGGGCCTCTACAGCATTGTCAGGGAATGCCTTGACATATATGATATTCTAGAAACCATGTGTGGCTGAGAAAAATATCAGGCTGGGTTATTAGGAGGAGAAAATACCGAGACAGTCGATGAGGAGGAAGAAGTCCCTTTCAACCTGGAGGAGTTAACCAGTGGTGCCCAATTTAGGGAGGCGCAAAGGCAAGAACCAACTTTCCAAGCTATCTGGGAGACTGAAACTGCAAAAAAAGACCAACAGGTAATGAGACCAGACTTGCGTGGGAGTCTGCCTCGATGTGAGGTGAAGAATGAGCTACTATGCCGGATTAGGAAGGGGCACGGAGAAGGGGAAGAAGTGGTCCAGGTGTCGGTCCCACAACCCTTCCAGGCCCCGTTATTGCGATTGACCCAGGCTAACCCTCGGGGTGGCCATCTGGGGAAGGGGAAAATGGAAGCTCGCTTAACAAGCAGGTTCTTCTGGTCACATTTAGATGAGGAGGTAGAAACCTTTTGGCACCTGGCACAAATTTGGAGTTGGAAAAAGCCTCCTAAAGTACCACTGCAACCGATGCCTATTGTTGCAGAACCATTTTCTCGGGTTGCTGTCGATGTCATCAGGCCACTACCTAAGAGCTCTAGCAGGCATCAATTCATATTCCTGTTTATTGACTATGCCACCCAGTACCCAGAAGCTATTCCCGTCTGGACAATTACAGGAACTTATAAAGCGGATGCCTTGGATGGGGATACCCAAGGAGATTGTTACAGACTGAGGGACCAATTTTATGTCCTTAGGAGCGCATGTCAGGTGCTAAGAATTAAATACCTTAAGACCTTGGTTTACCATCCCCAAACTAATGGGTTAGTAGACCATTTTAATGGAACTCTGAAAGGGATGCTCGGACGATGCACCTAGGAAGACCCAAGGAGATGGGATCTCTTTCCACCTATTGTTGTTTGCATTTTGAGCCCCCCCCCAAACAGGGTTCAGTCGCACTCCCCCTTCCCTCCTCCACAGTTTGCTTGACACCATTGCTGAAAGCTGGGAGAAGATGGGACCAATTCCACTAGGTTTGTAACTGCTTTGAGAGAGACTTCAGTCAGCCAATAGGTTACTGGTATGAACTTGCAGAGTGTGCAGCATCCGGAGAAGGTACAGTACAATAAGTGGGCTATGCAGCATGAGTTCCAGGTAGGGTGGCGAGTCTTAGTGCTGCTGCCCAGTTCCACCAGTACATTCCTTAATTGCTGGCAGGACCCTTTCATAATTGTGTGGCAAGTGGGCTGTGTAGAGTATGAAGTCCTGGATATAAAGAAGAGAAATGTACCGTGTCCATTTGTTAAAGTTATGCATGGAAAGAGAAGGTTTATGAATTACCCCATTATCCGAGAAACAGGAGTTTGGTTACAACAGAGAGGGCTGTTGGGACTGTACTAGTGGAAGACAGGGTAACCTAAGGAAGATGGCTCTTAGAAGGGCAACGTGGACAGTTGAAAGGCCTTATTAGAGTTTTCTGATGTCTTTAGCGAAGCTCTGGGGAGAGCTTGGGAAGTAATACATAAGATCCTGCCTCCGGAAGGGAACATAAGGAAAAATGGCATTGGATCCAGTACCATAAGTATCAGCCCATCGAGGAGAAATTGCGTAAGATGTTGCAGCAGGGAGTCATTACTACATCTCTCAGTCCCTGGCGATGGCCTCTGATAGCGGCTCCTAAACCTGGTGAGACAATCCGTTTGTGGACTTTAGGAAGTTAAACCTTATTACACGATTCAGTGCTTTCCCAATGTCCCAGGTGGGGGGCCTCTTAGAATGAATAGGAAGGGCAAAGTTTATCTCCATGTTTAATCTGGCCAAAGGTTATTGGCAAATTTCGTTGAGGGCATTTGATTCGATCAAGCAAAGTCAGCCTTTGGAACCCCTTGGCACTCGTATGAATTTAAAAGGATGCCCTTTAGGCTGAATGGAGTGGCAGCCACTTTCCAACGGCTTATGGACTGGATATTGGCCCCTCACCAGGATTATGCTGCAACACATATTGACAATATCATGGTTTATACAGAGGGATGGGAACATCACGTACGGTCGATAAGAGCTGTACTGGAGGAGCTACAGCAGGCGGGATTAACAGCTAACACCAAGAAATGTGCTCTGGGCCAGGACAAAACAATATTTAGGATTCATGGTGGGACAGGGCCGGATAAAACCACTGGCAGATAAAATAGAAGTTATAAGGAACTACCTTCCTCTGCAAAGTAAGCAACAAAATGAGAGCATTCCTGGGACTGGCCAGTTATTACCGTCAATTTATTCCACTTCTTGCAGAGATCACAACCCCTCACTGATACCTTGCAGAGAAGAGGGAATGGCTCCATAACAATGGTCATAAAGCATGAAGAAGCCTTTGATGCAGTAAAGGTGCCTTTATGTTGGGATGTGTTGCAAACACCTGGTTTTTCACATCCTTTCATTCTACAGGTAGATGCATCAGGAAAAGCTATTGGGGTAGTCCTCTCGCAGGCAATAGCTGGGCTCAAAAGACCAGTGGCTTATGTGAGTAGAAAGTTGAATGACCATAAAAAAGGTACACTACCGTTGAACACGTATGTTTGGCTGTTAAATGGGGCATCGAATATTTCAGGTATTACCTGCTGGGTAAAGAATTTCAATTAATTACGGATCATGCCCCATTGAAGTGGCTCCAGTCAACTAAAATGGACAATTTCTGCATTGTGACGTGTGCCTCGGCCCTGCAGCCATTCCAATTTTCTATTCAATACAGTTAGATTGGTCCAGGACGAGCTATGCCACGTACTTTGGGCTGGTAAGGTGCAGCCGAGGGGAGACCCAAGCATCATGGAAGCAGAGGTGCTGGGGAACTCCCCTCTCCGTGCATGTCTGCAGCGAGCGGAGCCGGAGAAAAGTGTTGGAGCAAAGGGGGTTAGAGGACCTTTGTCAGTGGAAGTCCTGTGGCAGGAGCCTGGAGCAATGAGGTCCTGAAATGGGGGAGCCAGCAAGATCAGCCCTCAGAGGGCAGGACAGCACTTTGGGAACTAAGAGAGTGTGTCTGATTTTATTTTTATTTCCTGGGTTTTTGTTTTTTTGGTTTTGTTGGGGTTTTTTGAGGATTTTCCTTTTCTTTACCTCAGCTGACAGCACATGTTTTTGTTTGGGGGTCTGTAACTAAACTTCCCAGC